CCACCTCCCCCTAAGGGCCCAGAGTATAACATTCTCTTTTGCCCCCTCCCTCCAATGCAGTATGCAGTGTACAGCTCGGCAGACACTCAGCCTCTCAGTTCCCAAGCTACATCACATAAGGCTAACTGAGACTAACTCCATTTGTTTTTAATTTTTAACCTTAAATTTAAAGCTTGGAAAACAATTGACATTTTAAAATTCTGATAGCACCCAAACAAAAATTATTTTTTAAAATATAGACCATCAAGCTGTAGTGTCCCGATAATTTATTAATTAATTTTGTACCTTTTTCACGATTCCAACCAGGAATTGTATAGCGTAGAACGCTGGTCCATAATCCTTTTGCCTGGTTTGACACGCTGAGAACAATTAATGGAACTATTCACTTTCTCTGCACCTTCCTACAAGGCGGCTGAATGTACCCTCCGCGAGCACAAGCTGAGATTCATGTTTAGACCATTTCTTCACATAGGCATATCTAATACATGTATATAGTATACTCTAATGTAGCAACAAAGGGTTTGCGTCACTGGTGATATAGCGGAAATTAAGTATCCCTGCCTGTTCGATTTCCCACTGGGGAGGGTTTTTTCTTTGATATGGAGAGAGACGACTGAAACTGAGAAGGAAGAGAAGAGAGACACAGAGACCGAATAAGAAAGTGGATTAGAAAGAAGGACAGGGAGAAAGGGAAATAATTTTATAAATTTAATACAATTTGTATAAAGACGAAAATATTTATATTATAATAGTCTCCAATCTCTTCAATGCTAATTTTAATACTGTTATGTTTGTTTTGTAGATGGGAGAATGTACTTGCACACATTAAAAAAAGAATTTAAAAACTGCACAGATGCAATAACACAAAATTGAGGCAAAACTTATGAAACAAATGACAACACATACGCCTCGTATCACCTTTGATCACTTGAGAAGCTTTATTTATTTACATTCCTCCCATTCCCTGCTTCAAAAATGTATGCATCATGTACATCTACATTTCATTTTCAGTGTAGGAATGGGAAAGCTATCACAGTAGGCAAAGACAATCATATTGCTACACATTTAGATTGAAGTTAAAGAAAAACTACTAGTATTATTTTATATATGTTTTTGCGGCCCCATCAACACAATCAATATCATTTAGGAGGCAAGTTGCTTCCATCGGGCCAGTCAGTGAGTATGTCAGGGCCAGCACAAACTTAGAGGGTAGCTCTACAACACCCCAGTGGACAGATTCAGATACACAATTAAGCAAAATAATAATGGGACTTGAACTCAGTTATCTGCTTTCAACGGTGAAGAGCCTGTCCACTATACCACAGACGTACTGGAAATAACTGAGAGACAGAAAAGAAGTATCCCAAATAAAAACAAATAAAACAGTGGATTGTAAACAATTTATACTGTCGCAGAGTCCTTCAATCATACAGTGGGGGCTGTAGTGCTAAGACAGAAACAACAAAAACTGAAGACAAAAGATAAAAAGGACGGTATTTGATTCATATATAAGTACACTTAAACTCATCACAGCTGCGTATGATCAAAGATTAGATTATACTATACTACAAGATGGCTCAGTCCCTTAAAACTAAAAAAGCGTCCTTTCAATCCACATTGCAGTCCACAGGCAATAGATCTAGATCTAGTCATAAAATAATAATTTAAAAAACGATAATAAAATAGACATTTCCACCAGCACTGACCATAACATTTTTGTCTTTAATTTTTGTTTCTAAAAAAAAGCAATTCCTGCTTTTTGTATACAAGATACACTATTCTGTAAAAACTTTATCCTCATTTCATATATCAATGTATAACACGGATAGGTCGAACAAAGGAGACTCAAAATCACGCATCCGTCCAACTGTGCCTGCGGTCCCGCTCTTTTTTCTTCTTTATCTTTGTAAGATAACCCTCGAACTACAGATCTCTTGAACTACCTAGGCCGGTCCCGCCGAATTCGAGCTAGTCTATTCGTGTTAAACAGTAGATGTCATCACAGGCATTAATCATAGTCTTTTTATTTGTTTTAATTTTAGCAGTAAGAGTTTTGCAGCATTTGCAAGACAAACAGGTCATTCAAGTGCTGAAGATTAGAGTGTTACTAAACAGTATCAAACAAAGAAAAGAAAAAGGAGAGATAATGGTGACAGAAGTAGAAAAGAAGGCGCAAATCATACTAGACCATCCATCAACTAATCATAGTACAATGAGTGCTTTTTTCAAGAACCTCAAATAGATGATGGAACCATCTTGTAGTGTAGAGTACAATCTTCGGTTTGTTGCAGGGTTTTAACTATTAACTCAAGGAAACAGCATAGGTGTGTGAGGGCAACAACTTCCCCTTTGAGACACAGTCCTCTATCCAGGCCGGAGTGAGTACACAGCATGTGGCGTCTCCCAGCACAGCTATCAGCTCCTGTGGGGGGGGACAGAATTTGAGCATGGGTTTTACAGGTCATTCAACACTTTGTCAGATACTTAACACTTGCTTCAACTTGTGAACATTGTATTAATAGGCTACACAGACTTCCCAACTCCAGGAAGAAAGACCCAAAACTCAATGAGGGCCTGGAGGACTGCGGCAAACAGCAGTCTTTGTGCTAGTGACTGAGATGTCCATTTAAAGTTAAAGATGAACGAGAGGAAGAAGATAAATATACTGTTAACTTGACAAAGTCTTCATATAAATACCGTATTTAGTGTGTTCAATGTCCGTTTCAACACTGCATAAAACATTTATGTTATAGTAGCACTACTAGTAGTAGTAGTACAATAACATAAATATGACAATTTTTTAGCAAAAGATATTTTCTGACTGAATACAAATACATTGCATGGTGGTGAAAACGCTGAATTCAGGCTATAGCCTAAAAGATGAAACATCTCACGTTACAGAGGCTATAGCCTAAAAGATGAAACATATCACGTTACAGAGGCAAAAGCCTAAAAGATGAAACATCTCACGTTACAGAGGCTGTAGTCTAAAAGATGAAACATCTCACGTTACAGAGGCTATAGCCTAAAGGATGAAACATCTCACGTTACAGAGGCTATAGCCTAAAAGATGAAACATATCACGTTAAAGAGGCAAAAGCCTAAAAGATGAAACATCTCACGTTACAGAGGCTGTAGTCTAAAAGATGAAACATCTCACGTTACAGAGGCTATAGCCTAAAGGATGAAACATCTCACGTTACAGAGGCTATAGCCTAAAAGATGAAACATCTCACGTTACAGTTATACATATAGAAAACCGACCTCCACCCCATTCCTCTAAAAGGAATTTTTAAAATATAAAATGAGGGACAATAAGACAATGGAAAAACCAAAGGGGACAATGTGGGGGAAGACATGCAAAACATCTTCTTACATGGATACAGAGTTGCAATGGGGCATTAAACCTATAAAATTTCCGATAATTTAAAAGACAGAGGTGCTTGGCACCAGGCTCCAGGGTTTGCTCACCTCCACATCAGTAGTATCGGTGACCAGGTGTGTGGTTGCTTCATTCACAGAGCTGGAGATGTCACCATCGTAAGTGGATTAGTCAAGGAAGGAACTGGTGCAGCATAACCACCACGCTGGATTGGTTTGTTTGGTTTAAAAAAATTATTTGCTTTGACATAAAGAGAAGGAAATCAAAACCATAACTGCTTGTTGAGTAAAAAAAAAAGCAAAGCAAAACAATAACGGTCATTTAGAGCGAGAAAAAAGACAAGACAGATAGACAGAAACAATTGAAAGGAAAGAAAAGAAGTGGGGCCAGTTGTGCTCTCCAACAATAATTAAATGTAGAAGTAAAAAACCCAAGACAGACGAAAAAGACAGAAAGATAGAAATGAAGAAGGACCAATCACAAGCATCTTCCAATTACTTATCTTCACAGTGGCAAAAACTAATACCAGATCTAGTAATAAATTGAGTAAACTGCACTTTGTGCGAGGGGTATTCAACCCGTGGCCCTACTGCTAGAAGTGGCCTACCAACAGACCTCTACACTCCAGAACTACAAAATGACACAAATAATGAGCAACTTTCACTCACAAAGACACATCATCTGGAAAAGAAAACATTTTAAAGTACAGACGAAAGATCAAAAGGATATGCAATAACGAATCTTTTCAACCCTTTTATCTTGTCCTCCGAGACGTTGTGAAAGTGAACAGTCATGCCAGTAAACATGGCAGGCAACTGCTCATTTGTGCCTCCACGCTTCAGCGACTCTTTGGCTGATGTTGACAACGATGATGTTGTAAGAGGTGATGATGATGAGGAAGGAGAAGACACCCCAGCCATCTTGTCATCATCACCGTCACTGTCAGGTCTCTTGACTGAGAAAAATTAGAAAATCGTTCAGGAAAATTCCATTCTAGACAGACAGTTAACCCTTTCATTGCCTACTGTCAGCACTGATTTTCAGCGGCGCTCACGAAAACAGCCTCATGTCTTAGTGTTAATGGATGCGCGGTCTGGATTTAGTGCACTCGTGACATACTTCAGGCACCGGGTCTTCGACAGCCACTTTTCTCACTTTTCTTATTCCCTATTTCCTTCTATCTTACTCATAATTTTGAATAACCTGCAAATATCTAAGTCAAAAAGTGAATTTATTTGACTTTTTAAAGTCATTTCGAAGTTAACGTTTTATGAGAGCACACGGCCGCCCGCAAGCCTAGATCTGTGTTTACCAATTGCTTGCAAGCCTAGCAGTAAAGTTAATACAGTCCATGCCGGCTTTAAGCACGGTCGTCGGGAGAAAGCTTAAGCGTGCTTAAAGCCGAAGCGTGCTTGAGTGCGAAGTAGACATAATCCAGAGATTTTCATGTTGAAAATTTCCCGTGCTATTTCCCTTTGTTTGTAAGTAGGCCTATAGCGGTCCCGCAAAAGTGTGCACTGTTATTTAGACACCCGCCATGGTAGTTTTTGTTCGCTAGTTTGTTTTTGTTTTGTTTTTGTTTTTGTTTGTTTTTGTACAGTGTTTTACGGCGCTCGCAACTGCATAAGGTCATATGAGCGCGCGGGACACACCTAATATTTTCAGGTGGTAGGAAATTTTTAATTTTGCCCGGGTGGCGGCCGAAGCCTACTCTTATCGATTTTAGACCACCAAGGGATCTTTAACGTGTGCAACTTGCACACAGGCTCTCCGAGATTTTTCGCCCTTGTCCGAGAAGGCTAGGTGTAGATCTTTCCTACCTACCAGAAGATCAGGGGTGTGGCTGAAAGACAGCAGTAAGAAGAAGCGAAGGAGTAGCAGTAGAAAGGCTGCAGAAAGAATCAAGAGCCCAGAGTGCACTGTTATTTAGACACCCGCCATGTTAGTTTTTGTTTGCTTGTTTGTTTTTGTTTTGTGGTCGAATGGGAAACGAAAATTTAATTTAGACGGCCAGTCACGATACAGCACACTAGGCCTACACACTGCCTGTGCGTACCACTGCCCGCTGTGCCACTCATACCACCGCCTTCATCCCACCTCGCGGGTAATACACAATCAGGATTAAAGGATAGCAAGGGTCAAAAGTGAAATCGCAGCCAGCCTCCCTTTCTCGTCTCCCTGACTCTCTTTGTATTTTTTTTTTGGTCGTGTGTAGCTTTGCCCTAGGCCTAGGCTAGATCCTATGTCCGCGCACGCAGCTGTGTGCATCTCTCTGCCTTCCTCTCCGCCCGTGTGAGTGTGTGTGTCCATCACTTACGTTCTTTGTGTTGCTCACGACACACTCCACTGCTGCGGTGTAGACTGTTCGAACTTCGATGGGTCATCATGAAAATATTGACTGAGACTGTCTTGTAAATGAAGCGTGCTTGAAGCCGAAGTTACCGTGCTTAAAGGTGTGTAATTTATATGGCAAAAATTCGGTAAGAGCCGTTTAGCGTGCTTGAGTCCGAAACGTGCTTTAAGCCGGCGTGCTTAAAGCCGGCACGGACTGTACCAGCAAATTTGGTATTGATATGTGCATCTTTCATTCCCGAATACGAATCTGCGCAGCTCTTGGGGCTAAAACCTCATACACAAAAATTAGAGCCAGGTTATTAGCGTGACGCACATGTAACATCATAAGGGCAACAAGGAGCAGAAAATTTTGCCAACTTCGGTGACATACATGGTTACGGTACGGCACAGCGCTAAAAATTACACTACACCAGAAGGCAACGAAGGGGTTAATTTAAAAATCTTGTCTTTGGTCAACAAAGTATAGTAAATTAGGGTGACTTAATAATAACTAAAGCATGTAACTAAAGAACAATTATAATAACATATTGAATTTCATATCAATATTGATTTTTGGTTTTTAGTGTTTCTTCAAAGCATGATGCAAAAGTTTACTCATTTTAGTTGTATTTGACGTTTTTTTAAAATAGTTGAACAGAATTGAAATTAATGTTTGAGTCACTAAGGGTTACGTTGAATAACCCACCCATCCCCAGCTGTTCCATAATGCATAAGTATAGGCATTTAAAAGAGTCTTTCCAGCAAAATAACTTTACCATTAAACTTGTTATCTTGAACTTTAATAGTTATACTTTCTTTCACCTGCATGTAATAACCTTCAAAATGCCTTGTATTTAATATTAGTGAGAGAAAAAATAATTCAAAAAAAAAAAAAGAAATAATGAAGTAGGCCTATCTAACTCACGCGAGCACAGAACAACTCATGGCTTAATACAAAAACAATCTTCACCTACCTTTGCTGGGTTGTCCAGCTTGAGTGCCATTCTTTCTCTTTTGACCGTGCTGTCTTCGGAAATAATATCTGCAGCTTGTCAAGGAAGTGCTTTGGAACTATTTTTTGCTTGACATGTTACTCATAACATTTTTTGCCCTTGACAACCACTCCAACTTTTCAAGAGGTAAGAAACAGTTATAACACACCTGTGACAAACTAGCACGATGTGACACAAAAAGATCTTTAACCCTAGCTCAGCGAATGGGAATATGTAAGACGATCGAGGTATTTCACAGGAATGTGTAAGAAGTGCACCAAAGTTAGTGATTTTGTGAGGGTGTGGAAATTGGCCATCGTTTAATCATCCTCTTAACTGAGCTTTGGTTACAGTCATTCCAGATATTACAATCTGACAAAGCCATATTACCAATATCCAGTAGCGATTAACCCTCCTTGAGTCGACAGCTGATTAAATCATCCATAAGTTTTATTCTGTGGGGTTGCAAATCGGTCGTAATCTCAATTAATTTTGTTTCCTTTGCCCCATTTTTTCAAATATCTACAAACATCTCAACTCCTTCACAAATTAACTCTATTTCCTACATATATTCTACTTTATGAAAATGTATAGGGTTATGGCCTTTACTTACTTTGTTTGCCTACACTCAAGCATTTTCCATGCATAATATGGTAAAATCATATAAATTCTCCCGACACCACAAGCTATTTGTTAGCAACACTTGTAAGGGCTAAGCTAGAACAAGGAGGGAGATTCACTACACACTGCATTTCCCCCTTAGCCAGTTCCTGGTAAAAGGGTTGTGAAGGATACATGTAGGTGGGAACGCCCCTTGAAGCCAGCTGTTTGCGTAAGAGTCGCTCCGTGCCATACCAGTTGAACCCCGGGGTGTCATGGCCGATGCGGGGAAGATGGACGCTGGCTGGATAAGAGAGTAGAAGGGAGAAATTGTTAGTTGTAGATAAAGAAAACCACTTCAACACAATAAACATACAAACAATCCCATCCAACATCTCAGTGTCGTCTCTCCTCCACACACATATTATATTACATAAAGACACAGGGACTTTCCAATCAGAAGTAAAAGTTCTTTCAAATGTTTTACACCGAATCATTTTAATTAGAGCTATAAGTTAACTACACTTAGGCAAACAAAATCCCAAAACATCACCTGATGGACTCACCATTTTTTGCTTTGGCCACCTGATAGACTTTCTCCAGGCCTTCGCTAAGGGCTGGGAGTTTGATTCCTGACAGCTTGTTAGTTCGTTTGTCTCTGCTCTGTGCTACTATTAAAGCCACCTGGGGAGACAAGGCAAAGGATACTTTACCAAAACAACAGACACTAACTATAGTCATGCTGTTAACCAACCATGATAATTGTTGTAACTAAACGTAGCTTCTTTTTCTAGTAACGGTAGCCCAATTTAATGATTGATTGGGACGACCTACTAAAACGGAACAACAAATTTTTCTGAGTTGACACCCTTTTACACAAGTTACTACCTACCCTTCTATATTCCACCCAAGACTTTTTCACTTTGACAAACTGATTTTCCCTTTACAGTTACAACTTTCACAAGGACCAACACCAACTAATCTCCATCTAGCAGAGTTTTTTTGGGGTCTATCCTAGGTCCCCATTTGGAGTAGGATATTGTTAGTTTCCTGAAACATGTGTTAACGTGATAGTAACTCATGCTTATAAAAAAAAAAATTCAATCATTTAGCCCTCCTATTATTAACTCTTTGCATATCAGATTGCATACTTTATCAACATACTGTAATTCCATGCCTGTGCCAATCCAAGATCTATTTTCGATAAAGAGCAATACAGTACACATTCACTCTCAAATACACATTCACCTGCTAATACACTAATATGAACATACTCTCATTCAGCCCGACATTGTTAACCATGTAAAAGTATGCTCACTTATTCACATATACACACACTTATACAGCAGCATAGTCATAAATACACACACACACACACACACACACACACACACACACACACAAACACACAAACATGATTGTACATCCACATAGTGATAAATACATACACACAGTTGTACATACCCTTAGTCACAAATACTAGAGATGGGCGGGAAGCACTTTTTTCTTCCCAAGCGAGAAGACCGAGAAGCTGACCTATTTCTCGCCAGGACCGGTACCGGTCCCGAGAAGTGCTTCTCGTCTCGTGACCTATTTCTCTTCTCGCGCCATTGGACAAGAAGCTCGCTGAGCGAGAAGGCCGGTCGTGGCCGGGATCTAAACTAGGCTAGCCTTGTTGCGAAGGTGCAAGCTGTGAAGGAAGGTAGGGAGACCTAGGCCTAGGCCATGGAGGTTATACAGTAAGGTCCTTGGCCTTGGCCTGAGCCCCACTCGCCTCGCCACCCTCTTCCCTCCCTTTCAGTTTCAGACACAGGATGGCACGGTGATGGGTCAGCGAGTCATTTCTCACTGGCTGTGCCGCTCTTTCCGTAGACACCTCTCACTCTCGTTACTCGTTGTGTCAAGCCAACGAGCGGTATCACTTCTCGGTACCAGGCAGTAGTTTAGTTTAGTGGCCGGGCAGCGATGGGAAGGGCATTTCTCGCGAGAAACGAGTACTAGGCCCTTCTCATGCCCACTCCTAACAAATACATAATCACACACACACACATACAATGGTACACCCACAAGTTCAAAAATACACACACAAATACATACTCATTCTTCTCTCTCACACATACACAAGCATACATTCCCTCTTCTGAAAACTGACAGGTCAAGTAAATAACTCCGTACTCACATAGTCTCCCTTATCCTCCGAGTCGACTCCGTCCTCCACAGCCACCAAGTGGCAGTCTCCAACAGACAAGTCTGCCGACAGAAACAGCACAGTATGGTTTTCAAGTTTTATTATTTATTTTATTATAGTAGAGGGTTTTACGGCGCTCGCAACTGCATAAGGTCATAGTCATATGAGCGCCAAAGGGGTGGGTGCCAACAGAGAAGTTTTTACAGGGAATCAGATTTACTCTGCTCACCTCTCTAGCTTCAACAGCACAAGGTCTGCTTCGACTATCAAGGCACCCTGGAAATAGCAGGTCACAAAGGTGTGACAAACATACAAAAGAAGTAGAGGAAAATGACAATAGTAAGGATTTGGAAAGAAATAGCAGCAGTTCCCTGTTGTAGATCAGGCACAGTTATGAGCGTGACATGAATCAGCCCATTTACAATTCTACTGTGCTTGAACGA